ACCTGTGCTTTATTGACTCCACAAAGCCTCTCGATTGTGTGGATCATGAGACGCTATGGACAACATTGCGAAGTATGAATATTCCTGAGTACTTGTGTTCATGAGGAATCTGTACCTGGACCAAGAGGCACTTGTTCGAACAGACCATGGAAACACTGGTTTAAAATTAAGAAAGGTGTGCAACAGGGTTGTATCCTTTCACCATACTTATTTAACCTGCATGCTGAGCAAATAATCCTAGAAGCTGTGTTATATGAAGAAAAACATGGCATCAGGATTGGAGGAAGACTCATTAACAATCTGTGATTTGCAGATGATACAACCTTGCTTGCTGAAAGTGAAGAGGAATTAAAGTATTTACTGATGAAGATCAAAGAGCACAGCCTTTAGTATGGATTGCATTGTAATGTAATCCTCACCACTGGACCAATAAATGGAGAACAATTAAAGAGTCTTATAAGGAGCTCTGGTAGCGTAGTGGTTACGAATTGGGCTGCGAACCTTAAGGTCAGTGGTTCGAAACTACCAGCCGCTCCGCGGGAGAAAGATGAGGCTTTCTACTCCCGTAAGGATTTACACCCTCGGAAACCCTGTACAGGGTCGCTATGGGTCGGCTCCGACTCGAAGGCACTTAACAACAACAACAACAACAATATAGCAATTAAAGAGTCTTTAACTCTATAACAAAGAGTTATATATATATATAAAGAGTTATACATAAAGAGTTATATATAAAGAGTTATATATAAATAAAGAGTCTTATATAACAATTAAAGAGTCTTATCAATGGAGAAAAGATTGAAATTGTCAAGGATTTCGTTCTTTTTGGATCAAGCATAAACACTCATCGAAGCAGCAATCAGAAATCAAATGATGTATTGCATTAGGTAAATCTGCTGCACAGGACCCTTTTAAAGTGTTGAAGAGCAAAGATGTCAGCTTGAGGACTAAGGTGCACCTCACCTTGGTATTTCAAATAACTTCATATTCATGTGAAAGCTAGACAGTGAATAAGGAAGACTGTAGCAAAATTGATTCTTTTGAGTTATGGTGTTGGAGAAGTATATTTGAAAGTACCATGGGCTGCCAAAAGAACAAATAGATCTTGGATGCCAGGATGGCCAAAGTTCGTCTCTCATGCTTCAGACATATTGTCTGGATGGATCAGTCACTGAAGAAGGATATCGTGTTTGGTAAAATATATAGGTCAGAGAAAAAGAGGAAGACCCCAGTGAGGTGGATTGGCAAAGTGGCAGCATCAACGGGCTCAAGCATGGCAACAATTGTGAGGATGGCCCAGGACCGGGCAGTGTTTTGTTCTGTTGTAGATAGGTTTGCTATGAGTCGGTACCAACTCAATGTCACCTAAAAACAGCAACAATCACTCTACAAAAATTTCTTTCTATATAGTAGAAGAAAATAATGTTATGAGAAAGACAAGAACCACTAGACCCACTAATGGAAACAATTAATGGTCTTAGTGAAAACCCATTAGAAATACTTAGCATACTTGGTAGAAATCAGTGCCCACTACAAATAAGAAACGAATGCAGTAGTACCAGTTGCTTTGGCATGTGTACATTATTTTTGTTTTCTTAAGAAAAAGCCATGATCACAGGATTTTAACTGTCATGGCAGCCTTGCAGACTTAGTTGCATGGGGTAGATTTCTTTTTTGCATTGCAAATCACATCGAAAGAATGAGGACATTGTTTCTCAACCTGGAAAAACACATCCTAGAATTTTCCTTCCTGTAAGAGAAACGTTTGGTTAATATATGGAATCCTATTGTGGCACTGTAGGATACTCACCGGACTGTAAGGTTGGTTTCAACTGCAAAGTCTGTGGTTCAAACTTACCAGCTGATTCTCAGAAACCTTATAGAGAGTCACTATGGGTCAGAACCAACTCAACAGCACTTAACAATAACAGCATACTTTAATATTACACTCTAGGTAAAAATGGCCCCAGTTTTGTTTTTAAAATAGACGTTTACTAGGTTATTTTTTGAAGAGCAGAGATGTCCATATTTTTAGTAATATACAATATTTTTAGTAATTTACTGAGATTTTGGTGTAAGGATGCCGCACCGGAAATGCACAGGAAAATAGTGTGATTGGTTTTTAATACACTAGGAAACCCATTGTAAAGTTTTCTTCTCAGGCCCACTTGACTATACAGTGGATAAATGCAAGGCTATGGGGCAAAGGGAAGGTATGATTCAAATTAGGATCCGCCATCATAAGCACTTCCAACTTAATTTGTCAGTTGTTGTTTATGGGGTCCAATTCTTAGAATTTAATAAATCCTAGGAGTCCTAGTGTGGGGCTGTAGGATCAGCACTGGACTGTGAACTATAAGGTCAGCAGTTCAAACCCACCATCTACTCCTCGGAAACCCTATACAGGGTCGCCACAAGACAGAGTCGACTCGACGGCTCTTAACAAAAACAAGAGTAATGCAGACTTGGAAACTGTACGAGGGGGCTTGCAAAAGTTCGTGAAAACATCCCACAATCTTTTAATTCAATTTTCTGACTTTTTGAAGGTCCTTTGTATAAAGCCTGTGGTTTATCAAAGTATTATAAAATGCATTCTGCAGAAGCTCCCATTGAAGTCTGAATGTATAATCTGGGCACAGTGGTGGATTCTAGTCTTAATTCTTCCATTGGATTTACTGTGTAACGTTGAGTTGGGCAACCTCTCTGAGTCTCAGGTTTCTCAAATGTGAAATGGGAACTTCTGCAGTCATTTTGAGGATTAAATTATATGATCCACTTGGAGCGCATGGCCTGACCCCAGGCACCTAAATACACTCATTATTTTACTAAGCATATGTCATTGGATAATTAATTTAAAACAGACTAGGTTATGCATTGGAGTCCTGGTGTGGCGCTGTGGGTTAATGTTGTGATGTCAGTTTGAACCACAAGTTCAACAGTTCAAGCTCACCAGCTGCTCCTCAGAAACGGTATACAGGGTTACTGTGGGTTGGAACCGACTCAACAGCACGTAACAACAGGCTATGCATTAAAATATAGAAGTAAGTCAGTTTCTGAAAGATGTCAGACTTACAGGATGTAACCCGTTCACCACAGTAGATTTACTTCAGATGTGTCTTTGGGGCTATTATATTACAGTGATTTCTAAGAGTTTTAAATGGAGCCATGTAAAAAATCCACAAGAACATTGCTGGCTTTTACAATAAAGTGTTATATTTTTATTTATTTATTTTTAGAAAAGATCATAGTAGAAATACAGTTTAAAAAGCTGAAGTGAAAAAAAAATTAAAAAGCTGAAGTGGAAAATCTGTAATAAATGATCATTTTATTCAATTATTTTATCAATAGGTGAAAATTTGGTTTCAGAACAGAAGGATGAAATGGCGAAACTCCAAAGAAAAGGAAGTGCTTTCCAACAGGTGCATCCAAGATGTAAGCCTTCAAGAAGATCCCCTCTCAAGATCTGCTCTGGGTTTCCCTTCCCCATGTCCTTCAATATGGGAAGTTTCTCAACAGCACTCAAGTCCAAGATGGAGGGAGAATTCGCCAGAACCTCCAGAAAGACTGATTTCAGAGCGTCCTGGAGAACCACCTCTGGAAGCCAGTCCATTGCAGGGTACCTTGTATTTGTGTTCTGAAGAAGAAGCAGGAGACAAGGGAGTGCTTACTGCAGCCATCTGAATGGTAGCAGTTCTCCACATTAATTTAAAAGAACACTTAACTAGTAATGTCTGGACTCTAATATCTGCTAGCTTGTGCCTCGTCAATGCCTAAAACCTAACACGTTTGGAATTATGCATGAACTAATGCTTTAGAAAATTTGCTCCACTGTTCTATTTGTCTCTAGACTCTGTCTTAATTCATAAGTGGAATAGAATCTCCCAGGAAGTATGATGGAACTGAAGAGCGTGAGAGCAACTAACTGTTGGCTCAGTTGCTGCTCTGAGTATGTGTATGTATGTGTATGTATGTGTGTGTATATATATATATATATATATATATATATATATATATATATATGTATATATATGTATATATATATATATACATTAAAATACAATAGTAGAGCTAGTTCTTCAATATTGCATTGAGGAAAATTCATTCCCTTTTATATGAAAAAAATAAACCATTGACTGAATGTTATTAATTTTTTTTAAATAATGTAAAATTTGGCTTTTAGCCCAAACTTTGATGTTTAAAAAATTCCTCCATTCCCTGGTTTCTTTCAGTATCCAGCTGTAAATTTATTATAACTCTGCTCAGCGATCCTAATCAAATGATCCACATTATTTCCATATATTGAAGTTTGTATTTAAAATTAATCGGGCTAGCAAATTAGAAGAATTTCTGAATATAATTATTGATACCCTTAATTTTCAAATTTTATTAGGCCATCAGTAAATGAGGTTCCTTCTTAACTAATGATTATCTTTTGCATTTCTCCTCTGAAGGGACACCAGGGTTTACCAAATACAGTGCCTTTAAGGGTCTTTCAGGTAAATAGAGGGCATGATTCAACTAAAGATATTTGAATTCAGTATTTTTAAAATACGGTATTGACCCAACAGCATCTGTACCAAGAAGTTTGTGGCCTCCAGCCTTCACTGAGGAGAGCTGTTGTATTACAATATTAAAAATGTTTCCAACTAGACTTCAAAACACAATACTGATGGAATCTGTAGTGATTTTGTTTGCACGTCTCATTATAGACTCATTCTTCCACTTAGGTGGCATTCACTATATATTAGGTTGTTTTTATGTACTAACAAACACTACACAGATGTTTTATGCTTTCTGGCTACCGTGGAATAGTATTATTATAAATTTGCATTCCTGGTAACAATTTGCTTAGTTAATACAGAAATTTCTATTCCAGGTCCAAGAAGAAATTATGTTTCACTTTGAAGGATATGAAGCAGAAAAAGGAAATGATGTGGTTTTGAATTAGGTTATTATCGATCTGTGGACAAGAAACATTGTTAGGAGAATTATGTGGCATTTTGTTAGTGAGAAAGCTTAATAATGATGGTGGCTTCTCATTTGCTTACCTTTGTAGCTATAGATTTTGAAAGTTGAGTGTTTAGAAAATAGTTCAACGATAATGATTTTAATCAACATCAGAAAGTTATTTTGTATGAGTGGAATTTGAGTTGGTATATATGTAGCCTGTGTCTTCATCACAAGATTTTTTTGTACTTAAAGGTCATCTGAGAGGGTTGTCTCAGTGCCTCATGGTAGGGAATTGAGGAGGGATTTAAAGGCCTATCTTAAAATAATTTAAGATATGTTTTCAAGTCTTTTACTATTATTAACCTTGTTTACATTTATTGGGTGCCTTATGCCCTAGAGACTATGCTAAGCCTTTAGGGTGGATTAATTCATTTAATTATCATGGCAGTACCCTATGAAGTAGGCATTATTGCTATCATGATTCCTGCTACCCAGACAAGGGAACTAAGGCAGAGTATTGGTAGGGTGAATGACCCAAGGGCATGAGGTAAATAATTGAGATTTGGACCCTGGCAGTCACGTTTCAAATCTTCAAACAAACAGTGTGGGATGCATACCATTGTGAAATTGTACTCTCTAGCCAGCTATAGGATGTGTTGTAACATATACATTTTGGGAATTGCAGTGAGATTTATTAAAGAAATTCACTTTGTATTTTGTCTCTTTTGCTTGATAAGTGATTTTCTCTTCAGTGTTCTCTAAAAGTTCAAAGCAAGTAAGGGATTGCCAAAACCTTCAACCTTGCAGCTTCTATAGAGAATAGTCCTATGAAGTGTAAGAAATGGAAATGTATCCTTTGTTCCTGCACCACCAAAAAATACTAGAATACTTATTTGTGGTCATTTTTTCTTGAAAATAACTTGGAAAATCAAGTAGAGAAATCTGTCATATCAATCTGATACTCAGGTTTTAGAAGTGGGCAAATTGGTGCTTAATGATCTTCCCCTGAGGTTTAACTCTGGAGCTCCAAGGTCCACCATAGACCATTCTCTGTCAGGGTTCTCTCTGCAAGATTGGGATGATGTTCAAATATGCAAACCAACTGTTTAGTGAACTTTCTCTTGGAACACATTAAGACTTGGAAACACAAACATACAGTGCAAGTACATTCCTACTGAACCTTTACTTGCCTTCCTTGTCTGGTTTGGTGGAGGGAACTGCTGAACCCCATTATCCTAATAAGCAAGGCATCTCGCTTCTCTCTTAAATTCGATCTGCTAATTATCCCTTTACGTACTGTGTATTTTCATTCCCCAATACAAATTTACTTTGACACATATTCATATATTAGTTTATTTTTTGACTGCCTTCCAGACTAATAATGATCATGTGGGATAATAAACTGGACTCCAAGCTTGGTTTGAACCGCAAGGTTGGCGATTCAAATTCACCAGCAGCTCCTCAGAAACCCTGTGCAGGGTCCTTGTTGAGTTGGAACCGACACTATGGTACTTCGCAACAAGAAGAAGCATCAGGATTATAGATGCCTGGAGGCAGAAGCAGTTTCAGTTTTTTAGAAGAAATTGCCAAAGGACTCAAGCCGATGAGAAGAAATGAATCATCTTACAAACTGTAATAAACATAAATGTTTAGGGCTGGAAGTATATAAGCAGATGATCATAAGATCTGGAGACAGTGAAGGTCGTGATAATTGATGTCCAATGGTAGCTTTATCTTCTTAGTAGTACCAATAAGGTTTTAATGAAAAACTTAATTTATTCCAGTGACTCACAAACTTTAAAATCCATATATATATGAACATGTCATACTTCCCCGGTTTTGGACCTATGCCCAGATGTGGTCATATGTTCTTTGCATACTCTTTCAGCATACTACCCCTACCCTGACCAATACACAGATTTTTTTTACACTTTTAAAATATAAAATCATAATTAAATATGCTTGTTGAAACTACGTGTGGCTTTTCTGCCCTCTTTCACACTCTGATGCATCCCTTTAAAAGCCACATACTCTCCAGTGTACTCCATAACTCAATCCTTTAATGACCAATGATTTCTTCAGGCCCTGTTGATCTTTACATGTAACAAGCATATGCCACAGTTTTGATATGACTGTTAGACACTAACATACAACAATATGAAATCCACAAATTTTTTTCCTCTTGCATTTCAACATATCTTGGGCACTCGGTGTAAAGTATTGTCTTCTAGGCTTTATGTAAAGAAAGAAGAGAGAGAACATGGCCCTTGCCCTTAAGCAGTTTATAATCGAGAAAAATTCCATGCTGCCTGTTACTGGATCAAGTGAATTTTGGGGAAAAAAATACTATTCTGATATTCTCCCAAACCCCATCTTTCCATTTGTAGTGAGGGGGTTATTGAGTATTTCACTATGGAGAAAAATAAAATTTGCTCTGCATTGTTGGTTTTCTAAGGTATCCCCACTCCATTCAGACCTCAGTAGTCCCAATTATTTGTTTTTTTCTACTAGATTAGTCTCAGACCAACCTGAACCCTTGGGGACTATGTGCAGAGAAAATAAAAAGCAAACTGTAAGTGGGGGTGGGGTGAAAGGTGGGGAATCAGAATGACCATATTCATGAATATAAAGGGCAGACAAGCAGAATCATTTATGTCCTTGACACACCAATTCTGAAGTTAGCAGCTACCTAAAATTAGGATTAGCCGCACCAAGATGATTCTTTTATATTGTGAGATTCTATTACATTGTCATTTTTTGCTATAAAAGTAATACATGCTCATTGTAAAGAAAAAATAGTGGAGAATATAAATAATAAAGTAACATTCATGTGAAATTTGCTATCTGGATATAGTAACAGCTTTTTTGTGTGAAAAATGTTTAGTCATTATGTATGTATGTAAATGTGTGTGTGTTCAGACAAATTGGGATCCTAGTGTATATCCAGTTTCTCCTACATTTTTTAAATTCAAATTTATACAGAGAACATTTTCCCATGTAATTAAAAATTACTTGAAAATATTCATGATTGCCGTGTAATATTTCATTGAACTCCTTCATTTCTTGAGGTGGACCAAAGGATAGGGACTAGGAGGTAGCAGGACATGAAAGAGTGACCGTGGACTCTCATAACTTGGAATGTACTTGAGAAAAAAATATATAGTAATTGTTATTTTAATTTTGATATATTCAGCCATTTCAAGCACATATTGTTGCCCACAAAGTGGTCAAGAGTCAAGTAAATTCATGACATTCTGGAGACTGGGGAGATAAGACTGGTCTGACTATTTAGAGTTTCCCATGATCAAAATTTTATGACTATTCTTTCAAAAGTTGCTTCTTGCTGTTGAGTCATTTCTGACTCGTAGTGACCCTGTATAGGGTTTCCAAGGAGCAGCTGGTGGGTTTGAACCACTGACCTTGCTGTTCAAACTGAACTTGCAGTCCAGTACTTATCTTACAGCACCACACCAGGACTCGCCATTGGATTAGGGCCCACCGTAAATCTAAAATGATCTAATCTCATGATTCTTAGCTTAATTACATCTGCAAAGATCCTTTTGTTCTCAAACAAGGTCACATGCACAGGTTCCAGACGTTCTGACTTGGGCATGGCTTTTTTAAGACCACTATTCAATTCACAACAACAACAGCATTCAACTCACTAAAACCATTTTCTAAAGTATCAGAGAAGAGTCTGAAATAGACAAAAACAAATGACAGAGTCCCTG